TCCAACACTGAACATAGTTCAGTCAGGTTTTCTACCACTTTATAACAATGATTACCTTGTTATAAAAATCTGTGCTTGTTTCCTAAGACTGCTGTAACAAATCACCACAAACTGGTGGCTTAAAACCACAGAAATGTATTCTCTCACAATTCTGGACGCTAGAAGCCCCAAATCCAGGTGTTGGCAGGGTTGGCTCCTTCTACAATTCTGAGGGGCAGTCTGTTCCATGTTTCTCTCCTAGCTTCTGGTAGTTGCCAGAAATCCTTAGTGTTTCTTCGCTTGTAAATGCATCGCTTTAATCTCTGCCTCCATCTCCATATGGTATTCTCACCTGTGTGTGTCCTCTTTTGTTATAAGTACACCAGTCATGGGATTTAGGGCCAACCCTAATCCAGTATGATCTCATCTTAACTTGATAACATCTGCAAAGCCCCTATTTCCAAATAAAGTCACATTCACAGGTACCAGATGTTAGAACTTTAACATATCATTGTTCAACCTGTACAATGAGTTATTTCAATAGTTTTAACTATGATGGAAGTTGCTTGTTATAGGAGAACTTAATTAGAAGTGCATATCATGGTTGGACACAGTGGCTCACGCTTGTGATCCTAGCATTTTGGGAGGCCAAGGCAGGAGGATCACTTGAGGCCAGGAGTTTGAGACCAGCAGGAGCAAGAGACAGACCCCACTTCTGCAAAAAATAAGAAAAATAAGAAAAATTAGCCAGGCATTGTGGTGCGTGCCTGTAGTCCCATAGTCCCAGCCACTTGAGAAGCTGAGGCAGGAGGATGGCATAAGCCCAAGAGTTTGAGGTTGCAGTGAGCTATGATGATGCCACTGCACTCTAGCCTGGGAGACAAAGCAAGATGCTGTCTCAAAAAAAAGAAAAAAAAAAGTGAATATCATCAAACATCTTTGTATTATGAATCTAATACCCCCCAATTTTTCTTAATTTCTCTGAAACTTTTATTTTCCAAATTTTTCATGCTGTGAAAATAATATTATAGTATTCCTAAAGTTAACTTGTAGAAAATCACTCTTGGGGCTTGTGGGCATTTATAGAAAGGAAGAGGTGTTTATTTTACCAAGTCTTGTAATGTACTTTGCAAGACAAGGCTCCGCTTACAGTTTTGCCACTAGACGGAGCTATCGGCTAGCTCTTGAGAAATGCAGTCGCCTCAGAATCCAAGATGAGCTCCTTTTTGAAAGATGTAGCTCTTTATTAATAAATCCGTATCCAGACACTATATTACCTATTGTGGCAGGAATGATACTCAAAAGCCACAAATTCAGACATGGAAAAAGTTTGTTTCTTTCTTAGTGAGGCTTAATTTTTATCCCAACACTCCATTTCTATCTCACAGAAGAAATGTTAATCTAGTTACTTTCACCTATGCTCAGCAAAATTCAGTTATCTTTTCATAAACTTTGGGTTTTAAGGTTTCAGGATTGTTCCCTCCACCCTGTCTGTCCTGGGCATTCAGTGTCATCCTGGTTTGCCCAGACATGGGCATGGCTGCACCCCCGCGTTGACTTGTAATGGCAAGGTCCGTTTTCTTAAGTGTGGGGCCTCTTGTCAACTCCAGCTCAGCTTACTTCTGTACTCCTCCCAGCTACAAGAGGAAAATCACCCAGTTAGCTTTTGGAGAAGCCACAGGGACATTTTGTGAGACTGCCGTAGGCTCTTCATATCCAAGCACCCATGGAAGCCACCTCCGCCTTCTACTAAATCTCTGGTGCTCATGTGGGCTACTTTTGCAGACATGCTGGCTTGAATCAGAGAACTCACATCTTCTCTCATAACACTGAATTTTTTTGTGTGTGTGAATATGTATGTATGTCAGGGGCTTGGTCCTGCTTTCACAGTCCCATGTGGACTGTGAGCTGCAGGAGGTGGGCCAGGGCCTTGTGTCAGGGACACTCACCACTGGCTAATCCTCTTGCTTCCTCTCTAGCCCTAGCCTTTCTCCCCTAACCTCTACCTAACCAGTATTAGGTGGCAGTAGGAAAGTGGATTCTCAAATGTCTTTCACCTGAACTATGATTTTCACATACTAGGAAAAAAATTTAGTGTCTTTTTGTTTTTCTGTGATGGTTCTGCTTCCCCTCAGCGTGATGACAGCTTCAACCTGGGGGATATGGGTGGTAGTCACAGATGAAAAAAGAAGTGGGGGTGGAGCGTGCAGCACATCACAGCATAGTCTGGTTCTTGGCTACCTTTTCTACAGTTCTCTCTCCATCTACTTTGGTGACTCCTTGTCCTCCACCTAAATGCAGTTATTCTGTGAGTTTCTCTCCTTATAGACTCCACTTTGGGGATCTCATCCAATTAATACCTTCAACTATTACTTCTCTAATTCTCAGTCCTGTGCTTTAATCCTGAATTGGCTTCCAATTCATATTTTTTGAGAAATGTAGATAAAGCTGGGAGTGATACCTCACACCTGTAATCCCAGCACTTTGGGAGGCCAAGGAAGGAGGATCACTTGAGACTAGGAGCTCGAGACCCACCTGGGCAACGTAGCAAGATTGCTATCTCTACAAAAAAAAAAAAAAAAAAGAGAAATGTAAATAAAGATCAGAATTAGTTTGTGTTTATCTAGGGGTCTAAACTTCCCCAAGTATAGACCACTTGGGGTAGTACAGTTATTCCGGATGCAGTGGATTTCCCTATTTTCTTTAAAATTTTTCCAAGTCCTAGATTCTTAAATAATTAACTACATTTTTGCCTGCTGCTCAGATTGAGGACAAAGCTGTTCTTACTTATTTTTTTAGTTAATGATTTTATTGCTTGAATAGACAAATTTATGCAACCAGGGCAGAGGCTGCGAATGACTTATACTTCCAACTGGGAGGGAGGTCTCACTTGGTTTTGTAATATCGGGCCAATTGGTGAATTCAGTTATCAGAATCAGATGGAATTTAGCATCCTTATCCTTCCTGTCGTGCTCAAGATGCTTTGGAATAGCAACCGCTTTCTTAATTAAATGGTAGAGATCTTCAGGAAGATCAAGAGCAAGTCCTGTGGACTTAAGAATTCTCAAGATTTTATTGCCTGTCACAAACCATACCTGTGCAACCCCCAGGGTCGCACTGATTTGTGAGGGAGTTGTTAGGTCTGTCTGGATGTTCCCCGGTCCTCAGTTCCCAGCGCCAGGAATGAGTACAGGTACCGATCACTGATGACAAGTGATCGCAAGTACGAAGCAATTCCACATGAGCAGTTTGTTACAGAAAAGAGAGACACCATACAGAGTGCAGTGGAAGTGAAGAAGGAAGCTATACAAAGTGAAAATACCTTCCGGAGAGAGGAATGGACTCCCGGGTGGTCGTCTTTTATTGGCCTGGCCTGGGGCAGGGCTTGCAGGTGTGGGATGTTACCAAAGGACTGACAGGTGTTCTTATATAACAAGGTCGCATCAGCTTATGCTCCACACGCGTGTAAACCTCAAAACCCCAGATTCCTGGTTTTCTGTTAACTACTTTTTTTTCCTGCAGTCCCTTCCCCTGATTGGTCCCTGGCTTCTCCACCCCCTAGGAACCGCCCTCCTGGCCTACACCTACCACCTGCATATTTGATCCCTACCTAACAGGAGTGGCGCCCCTCTTGGCCAGTTTGCAAATCTGCTCCTTCACATTGTCAAATGTCAACTTCAGCCCAGTGGGGATGCTGAGCGGTAGGGTAAGGCCGTCAGGGACAGACCCTTCCGAGGAGCATGCATGCGACCATGGCAGTGGCAGTCAGGCAGCAAAAAGGGCTCCTCTTATGTTTTTGAAGGTTAGTTTTGAAGAGCAGCTTGTCTGCTGTAGCTCTGGAAGTAAATTCACTGTTCTCCTCCCTAAAGTGTTCCTAAATCTCTCTGAACTTCTCTAGAAGCTGTCTTGTCCAACATACTGGCAGTATTTCCCGGTAGGGGCTTTGATGGCGGAATGATCCGATTAGAGCTCCGTGTTCCTAAAGTGGGTCTCTCCTAGGGCAGGTCTTTCCTAAGGCAAAACTAGTACAGTGGGTGGTTAAGAGCCTAGACCCGGCAATGGGCCTGCCTGTGTTCAATTTGCAGCTCTGCCACTACCGGCTCTGTGCCTTTGGACAAACTTGGGTGTTTGAGTTTTTCATCTGTAAAATGTGGATAATGCTACTCCCTAATTCAACGGGTTATTATGAGGATTAAATGAATTAAACTGTGAAAGAACTGGCCCATATTAAGAACTATATAAGTAACTATTATTATAACCAGTCATCTTTTACTGTTTGATCCCCTAGTTAACTCATCAGCCTTGGCCTCTCACAACTGGTAATCTCTATTTATTGGGCCAGAGCAGCTCTTTAATTTTCTGAGTTATTTCTTTAAGCATTTAACGTTTTCAGTTAGAAATATTATCTAATACAGGCAAGGTACGGAGGCTCACACCTATAATCCTAGCACTCTGGGAGGCTGAGGCAGGTGGATTGCTTGAGCTCAGGAGTTTGAAAACAGCCTGAGCAAGAGCGAGACCCTGTCTCCACTAAAAATAGAAAAAAATTAGATGAGCAACTAAAAATAGAAACAAAAAATTAGCCAGGCGTGGTGGCTCGTGCCTGTAGTCCCAGCTACTTGGGAGGCTGAGGCAGGAGGATCGCTTGAGCCCAGGAGTTTGAGGTTGCTGTGAGCTATGATGATGCCAGGGCACTCTAGCCGGGCAACAGAGTGAGACTCTGTTTCAAAAAAAAAAATTTTTTTTTTTCATTAGTTTCCTTTTTTCTGGGTAGATGTAAGTGAGAAAAACATGCTCAGGGGACTGGAAAGGCTCAGGTTACTCATAAACCACTGGCCTCAGAAGGTTGGAAGTGGTGGAAACGGGAAGCAGCAGTTCCTAGAGCCACGTCCTTCACTTGCCGACTTCATCCTGGGTCGGCTGCGGCGTGGGAGCGCCGGCTCCGCCCACCCTTGGCTACCGGCCAATCGCTGCGGCCCGTGGCGCCCGAGGCTGCCACAAAGGCGGGGCCTGCTCCAGCGTGAGGTTGGCTTGGGGTGAGTTCCCGCTGCTCGGCCCTGCCCTTGAGTACTCGGCTCCGACGTCTGCGACACACCATGGCTGTGCTGGCGGCACTTCTGCGCGGCGGCGCCCGCAGCCGCAGCCCCCTTCTTCGGAGCCTGGTGCAGGTGAGCGGGGCTCGTCCCCGGGTGGGCCTCGGCCCCACTGCGCCCGGACCCGGGCTCCGGTGAGCCCCTTCCCCTGCCTCGGATGGTCCCTGCTGGCGGCGTAGGCCCAGAGACAGTCTCCCGACGGGGGTCTCGCCCCAAAAGTTCCCTAAGTGCTCCGACAACGCCCAGGGACTCTCTTATCCATACAAGGCGCGTGTCTGCGTGCAGGGTCTCCGCCTGAACCGCACAGTTGCTGATTCTGCTGTGTCAGGCACACGCGTGGGCAGGCAGGGAGGCCCAGGATTGGCTCTCGCTCCGTCCGGCTGGAGAGAGATTTTGCAGGCCCATACAGCTGTTTCCGAGATTGTCGTCAAAACATATTAGTGCGCATTATTGTCAAGAGAGAGGTTTTCTTTTCTTTTTTCCAAATGGTAGGTAATCATTGGGCATACAAGGGGTGAGGACGCTATATGATAATAAACAGATGATAACACAAGAAATAAATTTTCCACATGTTGAAGCTAGAGAACCTGCACCCCAGATTTAGTGTCTGGCAAAGCCTCTAGAATAGGTAGAGGAGAACTTGAGGGTGTGGTTGGTGAAGCTCGAGTTTTCCAGGTTCGTTGGGTTAATAAGCTTTGAAATCCTTATGTTGCAAAAGTTTGGATTTGACCCCGGTCAGTGGGGACTGTTGCTGCATTTGTTTTTGTCATAATCAGAGGTCATGAAGAATTAGAGTTGGGGGAAGACCAATGTCTGAATGTAGAGTGTCTTAACTTGAACTAGGGTGCTGGCAATAGGAGCTGAAAGGGAGCAGCATTATGCAAGAGCATTATGCAAGATTATGAAAGAATAAACATACAATTTGATTATTAATGGAGTGAGGGTGGGAGCCAAGGGCAAAGTGAGAGTCTAAAATCAATCCTGGGTGACTGAGATAATAGAAAAGTCAGGAGTAGGTTTGCAGGACAGACGAGTTCTTAGTCTATTTGTTAGTTTCATGGAATGACTCCAGAAATCACAAAAATGTAGTTAGGTTAACTTGGATTTCAACCAGTATTGACTAGGTGAAATAGGTGAACTAGGTGCTCTAGGTATGTTAAAAAAAAAAAATGCAGAAGTGCAGAACCTTGTAAATTATGGTTTAATTAAGCTCTCACAATCAGACACAAATGTTCCTTAAAAAAAAATGAACCTGTAGGTTATAGACATATGGTATGTGAGGAATCAGCTGTATTGGATGTTATTTGAATTGAATGGTCATTTACTGAACCATGGAAATCGGTTTGTTTTAACAGGATTTTCAGTTTTCTCTGCCATCCTGTGGAATGGAATTTGACCTCTCCCATTACAGTGGCTCTCACCCCTTTGCCTCCCAAATCTCTTTTATGGTCAACAAACCTTGATGGACTTTTTTGGACCTTGTTGCCTTTCTAGCTCTAATGACTTTTCTCTCTGGTCAAAGGAGTCATCTCTACTTATTACCTCCCATTTATTCTATATCCATTTCTCTTTAACCCTCTGCAGTTAAATTTCTATGCCATTCAGCTGAAAAATACCAGTATTTTCTTTTTTCTGTGTTTTTTTCTTCTTGACCTTTATACTATATTTGACACTATTGACTACTCCTGCCTTGAATTTGATCCAGTATTATTCTGCATCTTTTAATGCTCAGACTTTTTTTTTTTTTTTTTGAGACAAGAGTCTCACTCTGTTGCCCCGGCTAGAGTGCCGTGGCGTCAGCCTAGCTCACAGCAACCGCAAACTCCTGGGCTCAAGCAATCCTCCTGCCTCAGCCTCCGAGTAGCTGGAACTACAGGCATGTGTCACCATGCCCGGCTACTTTTTCCCATTTTTGGTAGAGACGAGGTCTGGCTGTTGATCAGTCTGGGCACCAACTCCTGACCTCAAGCAATCCTCCCACCTCACCCTCCTAGAGTGCTAGGATTACAGGCATGAGCCACCATGCTGGCCAGTACTCAGGATTTTAAAAAAATTTCCTGTGTTTTGCTGATCCTGGGCCTGTTTGCTCCCTGATTCATTTCTCTCTCCTCCCTATTCTGTCTGTACTGCTGTGGGGCTAAGCCTTACAGGTTGTGTTTCAAAGGCTCCAGCTTCAGCTGGCTTCTTGCCGAGTTGAAGATTGGAAGATAGGAGGAAGGCAGAAGCCAGGAGAATTTCTCTCTCTTTCTCTGGCAGTGTCTGTGTCTCTTGTGGTTCCTCTTTCTGCCAGGCCACCCTGACACTTGCTTACCCTTTGGCTTTGGTAACCTTGCATCTTTCCTTTGTCCTAACAGCCTAAGTGCGCTGGTGCCTTTCTTTTGCTAATTTCTATATTGCCTAAGCATCATCTGTTGTTCTCAGCTCTTTTGTCACCTGGCATTTCATCCTTTGCATTCGATGGTTTCTAATAGGATGATTTCTGTTTTCCTGGTTGAATCCTGATGGGTACACTCATTGTTTTTGCTCCCTTTCTGTTCCCTTTCACTCTGTGCATTCTCCAACCTTAGAAATCGGGGATTTCTTTTTGTAAAGGCCAAGGAACAGTCAGAATGTTATGGTAATCAAATAGTGATCGTGGTGTGATGTGGTAGTAAACAGGGAGAGAAATGGATAGATTCAAGAGATGGTAAAGGGGCAGAATCTATTGAACTTAATGACTGGCTGTGAGAGGCTGCGAGACAAGAAATGAAGTATTAATATAATTTCTGGGGCCCAGCCTTTGGCATGTAGGTGGATAGGAGAGGTTTTCACTGAGGAACAGATTTGAGTGTGGAAGGAAAGTGATGAGTTGAGTTTTGGACTTGCGCTGGGAGTTCTCTGGTTAGGTGGAAGGGTCTGGCACACAGGGGAAGGACTGGATGAAATACAGACATGGGACTCATTGGCCATAGATGGCAGTGGAATCCACAGGAATTGATGAGCTCACCTAAAGCGGGCACGTAGAGGGAAAAGAGAAGAGGGCATAGCATGGGGTCTTTGGGGGACACAGTATTTCAGGCACAGATGGAACAAGCAGGAACCTGTGAAGATGAGTGGAAAGAAAGGACAGTGACTTAGAAGAAAACAAGGGGAATGTAGTATCACCCGAATGCCAAGGGAGGTTAGATTGTCAAGGAGTCTATTAGTTTCCCAGGGCTGCAGAGTTGCACTAATTGGGCAGCTTAAAGCGATGGAAATGTATCGTCTCCCAGTTCTAGAGGCTGGAAGTCCAAAATCATAGTGTCAGCAGGGCTGTGCTCCCCCTGACTACTTACATGAATCCCCCCTTGCCTCCTCCTAGCTTCTGGTGGGTGTGGGCAGCCTTCAGAGTTCCTTGGTTTGTATCATAGCTTCATTGCTCCAATCCCGCATCTACACATGGCATTGACCCTGTGTCTTTACTTCATCTTCCTTCTGTGTATGTCTGTTTCTGTGTCCAAATTTTCCCTTTTTATAAAGGTACCAGTCATATTGGATTGGGGCCCACCTAATGACTGCATTTGAATTTGATTACCTCAGTAAAGATCACATTTCCAAATAAGGTTACATACTGAGATACTGGGGGTTAGCACTTCTTTTTGGGGGAGACACAATTGAACCCAAAACAGAAAGTTGGTTTTTTTGTTTGTTCGTTTGTTTTTTGAGACTGGGTCTTGCTTTGTTATTTACGCTGGAGTGCAATGGTATCCTCATAGCTCACTGTAACTTCAAACTCCTGGGATCAAGCAATCCTTCTGCCTCAGCTTCCTCAGTAGCCAAGAGTACAACTTTTAAGTTTTTTGTAGAGAAGGGGACTCTCTGTGTTGCTCAGGATGGTCTTGAACTCCTGGGCTCAAGTGATCCTCCTTGCCTCGGCCTCGAAAAGTGCTGGGATTATAGGTGTGAACCACTAGTGCCCAGCCAGAAAGTTGTCAATGTCAACCATTTGTCAACACTTGTCAAAATTTAACATACCGGAGTGGTTATGTAAGATTTTAACAAAGGCATTATATAAATGAAATACATAAAATGAACATATACCTAAAACAAAAAGTGTGGATTGAGATGAGCATAACGATTTCATACTTGGAGACATTTATAAAGACATGAAGAAATACAGATTTGGGATATCATGACTTTATGTAAGAGAATTTTGCTTTCCTTATACAATAATATGCATAAACACAAGGTACTTTGATTACTAACTGCTAAGCTCTCTATCCTAAGAAGTTGAAAAGTTTAAAAATGATTTAGTCACTTTTCCCAGAATATGTTTATAATAGTGTAGAGGCCAAAAGTGGAGTCTCTGGAGTCAGACTGCCTGGATTTGCAGTGCCAGCCCTGCTGTCTCCTGGCCGCAGGACTTTGGTTTGGCTGCTTCATCCGCCAGTGCTTTCAGTTTCCTCATCTGTCAAAGGACAGTGATTGTGCCCACGGTGTCGTAGACATGTTCCAAGTCCATCTGTTTGTATCTGCCGCCTTGTTCCCTTCCTAGCATTGGTCACATCAGCTGTGTCTGGTCTCCTTCTCTTTTTCTACTTCTGCCCTACCACAGTCAGTTGTCTACACCCTGCGGCTCAGTGAGGTACCAATACCTACCTGTTAGAATGCCTAATAACAAAAAGGTTTGAAAACTGACAAGTCTTTAGGCCGGGCGCGGTGGCTCCCGCCTGTAATCCTAGCACTCTGGAGGCCAAGGTGGGAGGATTGCTTGAGCTCAGGACTTCGAGACCAGCCTTAGCAAGAGTAAGACCCCGTTTCTACTAAAAATTGAAAAAATTAGCCGGGCATGGTCACATGTGCCTGTAGTCCCAGCTACTTGGGAGGCTGATGCTTGAACCCAGGAGTTTGCGGTTGCTGTGAGCCAGGCTGACGCCCCAGCATCCAGCCCAGGCAACAGAGTGAGACTCAGTGTCTCCAAAAAAAAAAAAA